TAATGACATCCCTTTGGCCTAGTCATCAAATCTTAAAAATACATTGTGATATTTCAGTATCTATTAAAAGTGCTTTGCTTCTTTTCTTATACCATCAGTTACCCAAGTGATTGTGTGCTGTTTCTTTGCAGGCCCTGATTTTTGGGTATTAAGATTTACGTGCAAGGATAAAATATTGTGGGATCTTAAGGATTTGATAGGATTCAAATAGACTGATGATCCTTTTTCTTCATACATGTGATGTGTGAAAAATATGGCTAGTTACCATCATAACCCCCACGGAAATCTTTCTGGTTCCCTTTTCCTACAAAGATATTCAGAGAGCAGTAGGCCATGCTAAGCCACTTTCAGGTCATTTAATTACTGTCCACTGATACAATCAGAGCTACATAACGTGTGTTAGAACTAGAGTTAATCTCAGATCTTGGTAACACTGAAGTACTGCTGACAGCAGCTGAATAGGCAAAGTCCTGGTGCTTCATTGCTGCAGCAAACACCATCCCCCTCTCACCAGTGACTTTGAGCTTATTTGGTATTCTGCAGTCAGACCTCCAGCTGCAATGCAGATGTAGCCTTAGATGGGCCTGTTTAAAGTCCTACTCCCACTGTCCTAATAACTTTTTCTATGGTAGTTTGCACTGCTGTGGACCCTAAGCAAGAAATCATCCTCAATGTTTTTGTGGATGTCTCCTGACCAGTACACTTTTGGGAAGCCTGGGCAGCACTTTGGAGTCTCTGGAACATCTCAGCTCTAAAGATGAGCAAGAAGCAGGTGCAGAGGAGTCTTCTGCTGCTCTCCACAGAGGGAAGCAGAAAGGGTGCACTGCACCTTTTTCTATTCACGTGAATTTGCCTACCTAGTTTAGCTGAAAGAAATAACTTGTGCACAGAAGGAAAGAGGAAAATGAGTAGTTGTTAGTGGGACCATGGTAGGTATCTGACTCCATGGGGGAAACAACAGAGGTAATGGTGAAACACCATTATGTGACTATAATCTAAGTTATATCATCAATACCTGAAAAAGCACAGCTGAGACTCAGCTGCTTGGGATTGGAACCAAGGGATGCTACTATAACAACACGCTAGTGAAGTTAGAGTCTTTCAGTGAGAAGTCCCATTAATTGGCAGACAGCCTCAGTCAGCTGCTACCTCAGCAAGGTCTGGCACCTCTATTTGCCCCCCTTCTCCTTCCACTCTACCTGTAAAGCAGAGGCCGTTTTATAGAGGTATCCAGAGTCATGCACTTTAGGGGATGGTACATGCCCTAATTAAGAAATCTATCTGTTGCAATTTCCATACCTGCCAAGGTAGAAAAATTAAATTGCAAGAAAAGGTTAAACTCCATATAACTCTGTCATAGATGTCTATGGCTCTAGACTTCATTTGGAAGTGTGCAGGCCTTGTGTGCTTTGTTCAAGCACAAACTAACAGAGGAGGAAAAGATGCATTTGCAAAAAATATGACTGCCTGATTGTTCTGAGACATAGGACTCATATGCTCCTTTGTGAGTTTTAAGTTAATTGGAATGTCCAACTGCTTCTTTTCATGAGGAAAGTTTTCTGACAAGAATGTTGCTGACCCATCCATCTGCAGCTGTGAGTATTCTGACTGAATGTGTAGAATAGAATATGTATATAGAATATATAGATGTGTAGAATAGCTCATGACTTTTCTGCCTGTAGTGATCTTTTAATGAGCAGCAAGATCTCTGGAAAAAATAAAATAATTCCTCCAAACCAAGCACTTAATTTCACTTTGAAGCTAAATAAAAAATAAAACGAAACAAAAAAAACCCTAGCAAATTAATATAATAGCTAATCTTTATGAACGTTCTGCCTAGGACAAATGACCAGTTGAACTAAGCATACTTTAACTGTATGACAAACAAAAACTACTAGAGCTGGAATACCTAAAATTTAAAGGTCCAGTATTTCCCAGACATTTTTCTTTTTTTTTTTCCCCTAAGTATAGGCCTTTACTAATTAAGAAAGTCCAGCTTTATAGGTAGAGCAATACCAAAAAAGTACCAATAAAAAATTTAAAGCTCTCTAAAACATTTTAATACCTTATTTCATGTGGCATGTACAGAGTTATGATGGTTTGTGAGGTATAAAGTTTTTTTTATTAGCAGTCCATTGGGAAGACTGTATAACTCAATCATTGTAACTCATTTAATGCACATCACCACGGTATTTGACTGGTGTACTTGTCACAAATTGAAGTCAGTAAAGTCAGTAAAATATTTGACTCAGCAGCCCACTGAACACATACAAAGAGAGAATTAACTACAAACTAATTTATGGAATTAGTGGTCAGTTATAAGACATGGCATAAACACACCAACCATTTTTCAGCTTATGCTGTTATTCCCAAAAGCTTCTAGGTCTCTCAGTAGTTTCCCCAAAGTAATGCGTGGTACAAAACTTATAAAATCGAGTGACTTGTGGTTTAGCATCTTTTCTTATGAAACAAATAGTAAAACAGATAGGGGAACTATAACATTCATTTTCTCTCTCTCCCTTCACCTCCTTTCTCTCCTCCCCCAACATTTATAGAGTTTTACTTCAAATAAGACGTGCAGGACTAGTGGATTCCCATTACAAAGGTCTGCTTCTCTCTGTGTTTGACATCAGGTGACAAACCCAGGTGTGGTAAGGGCTTAGCTGGGCCTGTCCCCAAGATGCACAGTGACAGTGACATTGCACACAACACAGTCATCTCTCAGGCGACCATTGCTCTTGATTTCCCTCTTATACAGGTGGCTCCATAAAGAGGGAAAAATGGGATAAATAGCCAAGTATCCCAGATGCCATCTATGTGTGTCCAAAAGAGAAAAGAGGATGAGTAGCCACTGTTATTCTATATGTCATCATAGATATGCCTGAATCTCTGAGAGTGCCAGGAAATTGTTTTAAGGTGAGAATTTCCCTTGAATTAGAAGAATGTTGGTTTAAAAACCTCTTCTCATACATGGAACAAACACAGATGGCAATTGTTTAGTGTTTTGTTATCTTAGTTCACTACAGAGTACTGATCTATTAAAACAAATTTTTAATCTTGATGTGTATGACAGTAAAATGTAAGTAAAATGGAGAAAAAAAATACAAAAGAAATCATGATTAACAGCAGCTGATTAAAGCCCCAGAAACAAAAATGTTTATGAAACAAGGATTTTAATTTAGATCTTCTTCCATCTAAGTAGTAAAGGTTGCTTGCTTCTTCCGTTAAGATGACAAGAATTATTTCCAAGTATTTCTATTAATACTAGCCTGTATCCTTTGTATTTATAGAAGCCACACTTCTCAAGGCTACACATGGCCAAGAAATGTTGTTTTCTCTTCAGTGAATATTTATTTGCTAGATTGACATTGGAGCAAACAAAACATTTGTTTTCATGGAAATGTGAGACAAGCCTGTTGGTTACATCATTTACCTACAATCTAAATTAAAAATTGCTTTGTTTTCCAGTTTGAAACAGAGCTCTGAACAACAGACCAGAGATGTGATAACCACTGGGGCTTTAAAATCAGTTTTGCTTTTGCTTGGATGTTTAATTATTTATACAAAATACAATATTCCCAATAAGAGTAAAAACTTGGCAATAAAGTACAAGAATGTAGTCCTTGACATCCTTTTGCCTATCTACAATTGGCTAAAGTATATATATTTTAAAATTACAGAGCTGCAAAAAAATTCCAGTTTGCTGATTGTGCTCCATGCTCATGCATTTCTGGTATGTCAGCTCGGTTGATCACATACCTTCCCAGAGATGTACAGGTCTCCTGTGACATTATTTAATATTTATTGGACTTGAAACAGTTTGTGCAAGTATTTAACATTTTGTTTGCTATAGAACAGGGGAAAAAAGAAGAAACAACCTCATTAATATAGATAGCTGCAGTTTTTGAAAGAGCCAGGAGTAAACACGTAAAACAGGTGTAGATGAATGAGATTTATAGGAGGTCATGGGGATAGAAGAGTGATTTTAAAAATGGAAGAGTGTAATCATTCCCTCACTGACTAGCAAACAAATAACCATCATAATATGTTAACATCTTCTCCATCTGTTTGTAGCTAGTCTACACAGGCCATGATATCCTACTGTATTTCCCTGAGAAAGTTGGAAACACTTCTCTGCTATAGATTTCCAACATGTCAGTTTTTCAATTCATCTTCTTTCAAAAAATGGGCAAAAAATTCCATGTAGATTCAACTAAAACATCTGAAACCACATAAAACCTCTGGTCAGCAGCTCTAGCCAAAATGATAATCTGTGCAATCTGAGCTCAGGATTCTCTTTTATATTCCCAGCTATAGTCTTGAACGTGTGTGTAAACTATACTTTATTAAATGACACATTAATGTGAGTATTTCTAAGTGCTCTGAGTACTTGATCACTGAACCTAAATGTTCTTTTTCCTTCTTTTAACTTCCTTCTAAAAAAAAAAAAAAAATCAAAGAACACAACATGTTTCAAAGAGCCATTCCTTTATCAGCAGTTAATAGTGCAGTTCTGTTGTGCATAAGCAAGCAAGATCCTCATTGAAGTCAATGTCTCAGTTCAGAGAGATCCCTTTCACTAGATCACTTTGAATGCGTATAGAATTGCTGTCTCAGAAAGTATATGGCTCAAGTTAAATTGCTACAGCAATAAAGCACTGGGAGCTACAGCCCAGGGACTGGGTGGATCCATCAAAGCTATAATGTCTGGGATGCTTAAGAAAGAAAGACAGGGTAGATCAGGAAGGGAGGGAGGAAACTTGGGGGCCATCGTAATGACTTAAAATTGGTGCAAACAAAGATCTGGATTTAGGCTTCCAGAAAACTTCACATTGGTATGGGAACTGCTGAATCACAGCCTTAACCTCTGATTGATCACCTGAGGCAAGCAATGAGTCAGCCTTGGGAGCACAAGTGAAGGCAATTCACCTGTGCTGCTGGAAGGGGTGGAGCCTGGCTCCACTTCTCCTAGACCCCATTTAGGAGCTGACTACGAGTGAGGGAGGATCTCCAGAAAGAGATCTATCCTTTGGAGTTTTGCAGCGAGCCCAAGACAAGGGTAAGCACTCTTATTTATTCTCTTTTTGTTATAACAACCTGCTTAGCCAAACTCTCTTGTGTATTTCATAATTATAGCATCTGTATATTCATTGATTATACAATGTTGTATAGAAGCATTTACACACAGTACATGTTCTGTGTTGGGCAAGCTGTATGGAAAGGATCACTGCAGGTTACTGCAACTCCAACAAGACAAGTGTCTCTGTTCAGTAAAGAGTAAAAAGGAAACTCAGTCACCAGCCAGCTGTTGGCTCTGTTGACTGGCAGGTTGTCAGCTCTCTATCTAAGAGCACTAAGATAACTGCAAGTGGGAGGTATGCATCATGTACTCTGAGCTGGACCTGCTGCAGCTCCAGCCTGCAGGTTTCTACCTGAAGCTGCCACCTCTCTACCCCTGTCCTGGAAACCCTTGGTTGGTGGAAACAGCTTTGTGTCTCCTTCAGGTCAGTATCTCCTAGATAGATTCCCCTCCAGGTCATTGCTTAGCCAGTAATCTGAGTTCTCAAGGAGATTATATTTAACAGCATAATATGAAAGCTGTGGGACGGGTATTCACTGTTACGGTAAGCAGTGGCTCTTTGCCATTTTGTACCACTGAGAACAATTTTTAAAGAGAATCAATTCAATTAACAGTTTACTTGTTTTTTAAAGTTTATTGGTTAAATAAAATTGGTGATTTTATATATATAACCATCTAAACACTGTAATCTTTGTTAATCTTTCCTTATTATTGTTGTTACTTGTTTTTTTTTTTTCTTCTGAAGGTAAACTTGTGCATGAATATTTAGTAGAATGTGAGACCAGTGTAAATATCCGCACGTCATTTTGCATACATCATGTATAATACGTACATTTATTTTTAAGAACTTGTGTTTATTGTGTGACTCTTCCCAAGTCACTGTTCTTGGAAACACTGCTTTCAGAAGGTTCGCATCTCAGTGGATGTACTTTTTTAATATCACGTTGTAGGAAGGTAGTATAGTACTCACAATCAAATGGATTCACCAGGGTCTTAACTGGAAATTCCTTGGGTGTTGGCAGTATCTTGTGCATAAAAATCTGAGCAACTGTATCAGCTATGAACAAGTACAGCAGATACTTCCAAAGTCATATCATTATTTTGTGATAAACTTGTCTTTTTGATAATTTTTGTTTGCTTGAACTGATCATGGTGATGCTCATGTGGTGATTCCACATTAACTGTGGAATGAGAACTGTGCTGTACAATACAGAACTACTCCACTTTTTCCCTCTGTAAATACATAAACTCCTATACTAGTTCATGCATGGTTTCCTTAGTTTGAGCACACGTGTTTTCAGGCATGTAGATGGCTGTCTTTGTTCTATTAAGACACTGACGTGAATATCCCTGGAGGTGCAAGAAGAAGCTTAAACGCTGAAATGAGCCTTGGGGTTGAAAGTTCTTGTCTCGTTCCTTTATTTGCTGATGTTTTGTGCATGTGTGGTGTAAGAGAGACTTAATGAAGACTGCAAGTTAGAAAGCGTATATGAATCTAGGTCCTCACTTACATATTTACATATTTTGGGTAAGAACTTTAGTGTTAAATCAGTGGTTAGAGATGATCATTATTTATTGGTGGTAGAAGGCATCTCCTACATAAGAAAACTTACGTATCTAACATCTTGCTAGAAAGCTCAAAGAACTGTATTGTCTCTCTAGTTCCCAGCTCGCTTTTATTTCTGCTCTAATTTTTCTGTTCTATCCTCTAATTTCACTTCTCACATTGTCACAGGCCTCTTATAGGAAAACTCATCTTCATATTCCCATGAGCTACTAAAAATGAAATTAATGGAAATAAAAATATTGCAAGGCCTTCTTAGATTTATACAATTTGAAGTGAACTACTAATCCTGAATGTGGATCACATTTTTGCCAGCTTCTTCTGAACTGAACGCAGCAAATTACACAGAGTAAAGCAGAACCCGAGACTGCCTACATCAAGTCTTCTGAAAAGGACCACTCATCTACTTCATGACACGAGAAGATGATTCAGCATTTTGTTTGTAGTGACTTCCAATGTCAAATTACATCAGCTCAGAAGATCCATATGTTCCACCTTGCCAGTTTGTGGCATCAGCCTCCCGTACTGCTTTTAATTATTCTAGGAAACTAAGGAACTCTTTCCTGATGACAAATTGTCCCATCCCTTCTTAGTCTCCTTTTTAATGAACTAAGCATTCCTTAATTTCCTTCAGTTTCTCCCTGAAAGCCAATTTCTCTAACCCTTGTATGGTTTTTGTCTATCCTGTATGTTTTTCTGTGTGTCAGTAGCCTTGCTAAAAAAGGTCACCTTCCATACATTTACCTAAATTTTACTATGATTGATAATAATTGAGAGTTTTAAACTCAGTGGTTTTGAGTGTTTCATGCTCCAGGTGCTCAACTTGAGAGGCTGGAAGAGCCTGGTGCTTATGGAAATACGTGCTTCTCCTTCAGAAAGGTCAAAACTTATTTACATACAGCACCACTGTAATTCTGTTACTGACAACAGTAATCAAAAAGTTGCATAAACAATGAAAGACTGAGCAAGGTGCCAAAATTTTGCCTGTGTATATGAAGCAAGTAATACTACTTATTTAAAAGATCCCATGGCACTTTTCATATTCACTGAGACAAGACTTTATTTTTTTTAAGCCTGCATTTGAATGACCTGAACACAGTAATCATGGATGCGTGTAATTTTTTCCCCTCCTCCTGCTTGATCCCAGATTTAAATCATAATGCTGAAATCATGACGTCACTCTCAATCATTTCCACATGGCTTCACTTGTAGGATCAAAAAGAAGGTGAAGCGCTCTTGTGTCAGCCAAAAGCTGATTTTGAGGATGGGAAGATAATGCACTGAAATTTCTAATAGTAACAAGAAGACTTCAAAGAAACCTGCAGGTAAAGTACTCTTCTTCTTCAGTAGATATTTGCTCTGCCTCAAATTTTCCAAGTTGGTAGGTAGAGGTTCCGTTTTAAAGGGAATGTGCAAGAGATTGTGCTGGCAAGGAGATCTCAAGTCGTCAGATGCTCTGGTTCCTTGAGAAAACCTTTCCTGCATTAAAATTCACAGGTGAATTCTAGAAAATAAACCTTGGGAGAAAAAAAAAAAAAACCAAAGCAAGATAATAGCAGATTGTGTTGTCCAGCCTCATACTTCCATTTTCTCTGGTACATTAGTTTTCTAAAGGTAGCATTTTGGCTCTGGACGAATGAAAGGGCAAAGGTTACAGAATGTGAGGCCATGGCTGCTGGAAAAGAGAATAACTGTGACAATGGTGGGGAAGCGCAGGCCACCAGCACTAAGCACGGAAAGATGTGGGAAATTGGCAAGGAGGAAGAGGATGTCATTTTCTGAGAAACTAGGAAATGAGCTCTGTCTTCAAGCATTTCTATTTATGGTATAACAATTGTAAATATCGCAGGAGATATTTGATACTAAGATGAGGAAATATGTGGCAAGGCTTTTAGTTTTAAGTCTTTGTCTTTGCATGGGCTGCTTTTGTTCAAGAAGCAACAATGGAAAAGAGGGGACGTGGAAAAAAAAAAAAAAGAGGCTTCTGCTGTAGCATTTCCCAAACTGTTTTTCCCGTGCCCCTCTCCCAAGTGAACTCTACCTTTCATGACCCTTCTCTCCCCCTCTCCTCCCAAACCCACCCATACAACATTCAAAATTACAGCCTCTCATCTTTCCTTGCAGCCCTGACAGCACCTCTTGTGCCTCCCCCCATCTCCCCCACCCGCTTCTTTCCCAGAGGCTAAGTCCTAGTTTGGGAACTGCTGTTTCCACTGGATTTCAGTTCCTGGCAACTATCTGTAAAATACTTTGACCAAAAGAGCACCGTTCCCCAGAGGCTGCAATTCTAATTCTGCTGCGTGGCACTGGTGTGAATTCAGAGCAAAGCTCCCAGCTGTGTGCCCGCACAGACCTGCTGGGCTTATCCCTGAATGTGTAAAATGAGAGAGGCTCTGCCATTTGTTTTAGACTGTAGCACCTCTCTCTTCTGGCTCTGAGATCAGCTTCACTGCTCGGTTCACAAAAAGTCTCTGTGTTCATGACTATTCTGCCACAGCTCCAAAAATGTTCTCAGACTTCTGCCAATAGCCTTCATTAATTTGGATAGTTTTCCTTCAGATTTTGTTAATGATATGCTTTAAGAAGTAATCAAGTGTTACTTATGGAGAAAAAACATAGCTCTCACTGCACTTGCTGGAAATGTGCAGGCATAAATTTTGAGACTCTTGTCTTTCCCAAAGGGTCTTTCCCAAATCTAGTTCCTGTCCCCACTTCTGATGCGCTGCATTTCAGGCTCACCAGAGCCACTCTCTTGTTTGACAAGTTAACTTCTCTTGGAAGCTCTTTGCTCATCTCATAGAAGGTGGAGACAGCAGCAGTATTTGGCACTCTTGAAAAATATGCTGTTTATTTATCCATCCAAATGTAGATTTTTTTAAAGTCTCATTACACTCATTTGACTTTCAAACATCTTGGCCCCATAATACCAGGTAATTAAAACAAATAGACAACATCATGTGACATTCTGACCTTCTGTTCAAAGATTTCCGAGTTACTCAATCATCTCCTCTCTATGCCAGTGTATCCTTCTCCTACAGTCTGTTTATTATTTCAAGGCTCAAGCAGATGCATCTCCAGGAAGGAAAAAAAAACCAGCAAGATGCTTTGGGGAGGGTATGAAAGTGGGGGGGGGGAAAAAGTGGCAATTCATGATCTCAGCGTTAACAAGGCCTTCACTCCTACTGGTTCAGGAGCTGACCCTGCTGTGGACTCCATGGTGATGGCAACCTAAGAGAGCCACCAGAGATAAGTCTATCACAAACAAATGACTCCGCAGCTCCAGCCCCATGCACATGAGAGCTTGCCTGCCAGCCTTCCCAGCAGCCCAATGTGTGGAGAGAGGAAGCTCACTCCCCACGCAGCCCAGCTGCCTGCTCTGCCTAACAGAGGATGCAGAGCAGCCCTACAGGGACTGTGGTGTGGACGTCCATCACCAGTCCTGTCAGACCAGCTCTTGAACTTCTGTGAGATGTAGATGATTTCTAAATTTGTTTCCGAGGCTGCTTGCAATAATAAAATAAAAAAAAAGACACTGACAGAACCACAGGGAAATACGATCTGATGTAAAACCACAGTGGTTTTTTACTTTTTTGGAAGGCTTTGTAATGTGTTTGAATTGGCCACCTTGCTATCTTTGGCAGCAACTGCTAATCCCTCTGTGTCCTTAGCTGGTGTCCTTGATACTCCAAATTAACTAATATTTTTAGAAGATTTTAACTTTTATTCTTGATTATGCAATGGATATATCACTGGATATTTTTCATGTCAGCATGATTAAAATGCTTAATCCCCTCAGAGAAATTTGCTATGATTTAAACCACTGCTAGAATTCATGTTTGAGATTTAGGAGAGCAAAGAGCCAAGTAGATTTAAGAGGCAGCAATTCCTCCAAAAGGTCTTTATGCTTCAAAAATGCTGGTACAAACTCTTTGCAGAACAAAACTCAGTGCAATGCTATGTGGATACAAGGAATGGCTTTCACATTCTTTGAGCTGTGGCACCCCGGAGTGGGGTTCCAGGTAAGCAGAGAGTTTCTGAGCAGCTGAAAGGTTCTGGGAGGTAATGTATCCTTCTCTCCCATCCCAGCATGAGACAATCACTGCAGGTAGCGCTTGCTCATTTTCCTGGGTTTCACCTCAAATGCAGGAAAATAGGAGCCGTGGCACCACTGAGCAAAGCAGTGGTATGCACCACACTGGTGTTGGGGTCTTTGTGTGTTAAGGAGGAGACAAAGGAGTCACACTGTGGACAACACCTGGGGCACACACAAGGATGTGAAGCACTCTCAGCAGTGACAGCTGCTTTGGAAAAATCATGAAAAAGTCATAGAACAGCTTAGGTTGGAAGGGACTCTAAGGATCATCCACTTACAATCCGTTCCTGTTGGCAGGGTTGCCACTAAGATGATAGGAATCAAACTCCAATAAAACAGTCTTAAAAAAAAACCAAATCTTTTATGGATGGCCTTTTCCTGTAAAATCATTCTTTTGTAGAAATAAAGACCTTCAGAAAATGTGTAAAAAAGATGAAATAATCTTATCTATTAGACATTTTACATTCATAAAGGCATATTCTCTGTCTTCATCACTGCAACTTTCTCCACGTTCTTCAGTATATTCCTGACTTTATACAAACCGATATATTATGGAGCTTAGATATATTCATGTCTTCATCCAATAACTCTAGAGCTGTATTAATCAAATGTATTTTTTGTGAGGTTTAAATTTAGGCCCCCATTTCTCAAAAGTATCGCTGATATCATTTCTTTTCAACCTGTACTATGTCATACAATAGGCATAAGCAAACTTTCCAGGGAATCTGTGAGGTTTAAACAAAGATCTTTGTGACTGTTAATATTGAAAATATAAAAAGGTGCTCTGTTCTTGTTGTTGTTTTTTTTTTTTAATTTTTTATTCAATCCTCCTGAGAGAAAGATTGAAATGTCAGAGTCACAAAGGGCTTCCATATAAATGGGAGCCAGACTTCTCTTTGGAATTTTACAGATAGTTATTTTCAAACCTGAATGGCCTGTGAACAACGCCTGTGTTCTTAGAATGAATTGCTAAGTTATAGGTACAGGTGCTAAGCACTGCTGCATCGAAGCACAAGTTCAGAAAATGAGATCAGCTACCAGAGGCACTGCAAAATTAGGAGCTGGGTGTTGCAACTGAATGTGTCTCCTGGTTAGAAATCTCCCTCTGTTAAAACCACTCATTAGCTATTCTGTTGAATGCCACGAAGGAGATCAAGCCAGGGTGGAAGGACAGAATGATTTCAGACTGAGTTTTCAATTAAAATCCACAGTCTGCTCTGTTTCTGATAATCTCTAAACTCTTTTGAAGAAATGATCATTATAACTGTGTTTAATCTGTTTTCAAAACAGACTGTGAAATAGCCATTGTGTATGCACCTTCTGTTTTTATAACTTCTGTGCTTTGATATTGTAATTGATGCAAGTGGGCGCAATTAAATCTTTATTTGGAAACTTGCACCAAAGCAAGTCATTCAGAAAAAAGCCACCAATGTGCTTTGACTCTAGATTCTCACACATATTTGCACTTACAATCACAGCTTTTGTTCTGTTAAACTAACAAGGGCTGTTTAGCATAAGAAAGAGTTAACACAAGCTGCCTTCCCTTGTGCTAATTTCGGGAATAAAACTCGAATGGGAAAAAATCTGCTGGAAACTATGCTGTCTCCATTAAAAATCACCAATTTTTTATTTTAATAAGTGACTAACTACAAGTGGAAAAGTTTATTGCTAAAATGAACAATGACACATCAACAATTACTGTAACTCAGCGATGAAACCTCTGGATTTTCTTAAACTAAAGTCAGATCACAGAAGAACAGATCAGTTCTTCAGATTAAATTGTTTCCAAAAAAAGGTTTTGGGTTTGTTGGTTTTTTTTCACTTCTGGGGTTTTTACTTTAAAGCATGAAACAAACAGGGATCAAGACTGACTGTTAGCTTTAATATGTGGTTTGCTGGCATATCTGTGTTATTATGAGCCGTGACAGCTATTAATCAGTCATCATACTACAAAGTATGTTTCTGGTACTGCTCTCTTAGAATCTAACTGTGGATTTGTTTGTGTGAAATGGTATTTTGTAGAAAGATGTGTTTGGTCCATCTCAGTGAAATGGTTGGTTTTTTTGGTCCAAACGAACAGCACAAAGCTTAGTTGAAGTATTCACCTGCTTTTGAAATGACAAAACATGCTTTGTTTTCTCAGAAACTCTCAACTGAAAGGGAAACCCTTAAAGGCAGTAAAAGATAGACTCCTATGTGTGTGTACAAATATACAAACATATGAATAACATATAATTATTTTATCTTCTCCAAAAGGTCATATAGTCCATTGTTACCACATATAGAGCAAACTCAAAATATCGAGTAGTGAGTGTACCCAGGTTTAAAAACACGTAGAGAAGGTTTAAAAACCTTCTCTATTAATATATCTGGAAGATACCATGTTGTCCTTCCTGCAAAGAAGTTTTCAGAGGGCGCTTGCTGGCAGAGTACATCTCCAGCATAAGCCAATGCTGTCTGTGTTGTTCCTGGGTTAGGCTATTCCAGAAAGATCAGCCCCTCATGTCTCTCAAATAAATATGGCAAAGACACTAACCTCAGTCTATCACTACAGGAAAAGAAGTCCACTGAAAACTTCTTTATTGTTGATGAGACTGACACCTGGGCTAGTGTCCCGTAACAGTGCCTGTCTTATTGATTGCCTCTTGAGGTAATTCAGCATCTCAGTGACAGGTCTCATCTTTAGTAGAATTGCTCATCACTGGAGTACTTTTTCTCTTTAGTGCCATCCTTCAGCAGATAGTAGCTGTTAAGCTTCCCCAGCCCAATTTGCCTAGTGTGTGTGTAAGTTCCAATTTAAGATCAACTTCAGCCCACTTAAGAGGAGGCTGTCTCTGAAAGAACTATTTTCCTCCTTCTCTCCCTTGGCTGTACATTACTGAGCCATTTCTTGTGTAAGCACCTGCTTTCCATAGCTTTCCAACTATTTCCATAGCTGATAAGACCTCATTTTCTTCAAATGGTTAAAAGAAGAAGAAAATAAGATCTGCTAATATTTATGTAAAGCAGTCAGCAGGAAACTGATGGAGCAGAGCAAAGGAAAAAAATGAATTGCCATTTATAATAGCAATGTGGTTTATGCTGCATGTGAACCTGCACTCTGAGGCTGCATCTGCAGTTGAGGTGAATCCACAAGCTGCTTCTGTGGAGTCAGTTATTGGACTACCTGTCAGACAACTGCCTTTACTTCAAATCGTTTGTGAATTCTGATTTTTCATTGTAAAAGTAACATTCTGACAATATTCAGCCTGAAGAAAGTATTAGAAAAGCATTGGATTTAATAAAATGTGGAATGAAAACAAATTTCGAAACTGGTTGCAAAATGGTATTTCTATCCTCTTTTTAGAACTGTGTACAGCCTTGGAAGGAGAATGAGCAAACCATAAAAATTATTCCAAATTCCCCAGGACTGAGCAGAAGTAAGAATGGCTCTGCCTTTTATACTGGTTCCATCTTACCACTGATCAGTACCAGAATAAAGGCAGAGAAAAAATATTTTTCCCTCCCTTCAACCAAATGTGGAATTTAAATAAAAACAAAATAAAACAGTCAGGCAAATATTACAACTTCCTGCTCCAGTCCTTTAAAAATTCTCCCTCACTTACACAAGCTTGGAAAGGATTCAGTGCCCTAAGTTACCACTGAGAGTAAATAATAATTATATTTGCCATAAGAATAGGTTTTGGTAAGTGTCAGCATAAGGACAGCAGATGGGATTATCTATTGGGAATTTCCCCTTGCTACTGCAGTAGGTTTTGCTTTAACAGAGAGCTGAAGAGAAAATAAGTGGTTGAAAGACTACTCAGGATCATGTGGTGGCATCAGGAACAACAGACTCTTTTCCAGCCAGACTTCCATTTTGTGCAATTCCATCCTGCCCCATTCAGCTCTTCTGTGTCCCTTTCCCTTTAGTTGCAACAGTCTGGGAAGTGCCAAGGGACTGCTTAAATAGAGGCAGAGAGAATGGCTGCTATGTTAAAGGGCAGTGGGGTAGAGCCATAGGTACAGAGAGAGAACAGGGGATGCCATAAGGATGGGAAACAAGGTTTTCCTGCACTGCAGGAGTTGAAGAGTAAGAGTAAAAAGGCAGGGCTTTCAGAAGGGGCCTCAGAAATGCTACAGCCAGCAGACAGTGCCAGATAATGCCTTGTTTTCAAACTCTGTTTCTTAATCAAAACCTTCCCCAAATGCATCAGACTCTGCTAGGACCCCCTTCCTGCAGCTATTCCCATAGAACCTTGCCTTGAAAAGAACATTCAACTCCTCAAAAACCCTTCTCCACCAAGAGTTGCCCAGCTTACCTCTTGAGTGTCCTCAATGTCTTTTGCTTTCCTGAAATTGACTAATATTCTCTTGCTCTCTAAAGCACCATGCCTTTTTTTTTTTCCCCCCTCCACACTCCTCATCTTTCTGCCACTTCTATAACACTGAATTTTGCCTACCCATTTTTCAACCCTGGGACAACAGAGTTGTAGACAGTGAACACAGTTATAGACAGCTGAACAAGGTACTGCTCAGTAAGCTCCTCAGATGGCATCACTCGTACCTGCCTAAAACTGGCCTTGCTTTGGAAAGAAATGACATCTCTCTTCTCTTTATCATTGAAGCCCCATGTCAACATCGATACCCACACCTGCTGTTGGGACTTCTTACAGATCTAGAGGGATTGCTCTCACCTGCAATGTAATCATGATGTCTTCCAGCAACTCCGCACCCCACGTTAACAGTTCCCTCTTGGTCTTTCTCAGTATCAAATTTCAGTTTCACTCTGTCTTCGCTTTTTCAGTTTTCTCTACAATGAAGCTTTTTAACTGACACGAGACGTGAACCAGAGGCTTTAGACTTAGTATATTTTAGGCTTTTATCACACAGAAAGGAAATGACAAGTGGCTTAGGTTGGTGGGATAAACACATTAACTTCTTTTTTTTTCTTTCCTCCTGAAGTGACTGGCTGTATTTGAATTGTTACCTAAAGTTCATGGTTCTATACGACTGCATTATGTTTTTCGTATTTTCAGTCTATAATATCCTTAATTAAGGTTTGACAATAAGAATTGGGATATAAAACAATATAAATACTCTAATGAATGCGTATGATTTATCTTATGTACTTAGTTCTGTGTGCTGGTATTATCGATATTTTCATACATATCCTTTTTTATGGCTGAACGTTAGCATTTAATCTTTTCCTACACGTAGGACAAGGTACCAGTACTACTCCTGACAACACCAGAAAAACTCAGCTCCAGTAAATGCAGTACCCCACATGACAAATGCTATTTCAAGGGCTATATTATGATTTTTGTACATGCTTACCTAGAGCGCTCAAACTACTTCAAGATTTAAGGACAAGAAAACAAGTAAGTTTGCTAGCTATCACAGCTGTATTAGTTTGCCACTTGTAGCTGCTCAGATGCCAATTTCCTTGATAATTGTAGTAGCAAGTGCAATGCTGACAATAATTATATATAAGAAACCTAAGCATATCTGTCTGTTTTCTCTTCAGTGAGGATAGAAAGACTGAGTGGGCCTTGCTGCTTTAAAAAATGGCTCAACAGAGGTATAAGTTGTCTTGCACAGTGCCCTGTCTTTTTGCTCTTAAATGTTATCAACGTTATGTTTGAGATGAGAGAGAAAGTGATTAAATGAAGCATTTTCCCAAAGTGTTATGGAATTTGCTTGATGCTTTGTTGTTATAAAAACAAAAGGGCTACAGGGTCTGTTGCTTCCTTTTAGTTGCTAGGAAAAAATGACTCTGTATGTTAAATTATATGTATTCCCACGCTCTGTCCAGAATGCCATCATGAACGTAGTTGTTTTTTTAGGCAAACGGTGCTTTAATTATGTGCAATATTAGAAGCCTATTCATAGGGGGAAACAGTAACATTGATTCTTCGTCACAGAAGTTTTACTGAGTATGGTGAGTTTAACCTTGGAGTCATCCAAGTTCTTCATTCTTCGTGAATGTAGTTTTATCAAGTTGGAAGTCTTGGGAAAATAAGGGCAAAGAGTAAGAGGGAAGGACCTGAAGATGACCATTGGTCATCAGTTTGTTAATAAGGAACAGGAAAAGCTCAGAGAGATTCTGGCTTCTAAATTGTTGGCTTTTTTTTTCAATTTTTATTAAGTATTGGATGGTTTACCTCACATTTTTTCAGTAATGAAATTGAACTCTATCCAAAAACGTGAAGTCAGCACAAGTTCTGAGAGCATATTGCTTGCTGGGTTCTCACACTTTAAAGCCTTGTAGACTCTGTATATGCTCTCCCCTTAGCGCTTTCACTAGTACTGAACATGGGATCACCTACCTTGTACTGACTGGCTTATGTCTGTTGATTTTCCTGCTTTATTTGCCTCTATTTTCCGAGTGTCTGGTGTGCTGAGCCCTTCCCAGACTCACTGATCACTTGTTTACTGTGCTGGAGTTGTAACTCTTGGCCAGTTGGCAGCTGAGAAGAGATGAACAACAGTTTCTCAGTGCATTAAATTGTCAAATTAGGCTCTTGCTTGGAAAAATATTACTGGTTTTGTTTTCTTTTCCCTAAGTATGACATTACAAATATGTGGGGTTTTCATTTGTTTTTGGGTTGTGTTTTTTTTTTTGTTGCTTATTTTTCCTTCTTCTTGTTTTTATTTTGGGATATATAAAAAAAAAATTAAGTTTAACTGGCTCTCTTGATAGGTCAAGAAGGATGTCATTTTTTCATTATTGCTTATTACTAAATTACTTCTATGTAAGTACTAATAACGGAGTTAACTTAGAATAAAGACTGACTGAGGAAGATGAGTATATTGGGAAGGTATGTAAAGGAAGTTGCACAAATTTCGGGCGGCTGATCATTGCAGCCATCAGTATTCTTCTGTGGGCAAGCAACAGTGGAGACAACAATATGAGAAATTGTAAAGCCCTGCAATAAACTATTGTCCATCTCTCCTGCATGCTCTCTCTCTCTTTCAAAAATAGTTCGCCTTAGGGGTAATTAGCATTGTGGACCTGAGGTAAATTGTGTTTGGATCTAACTTCCATACTATCCCATTCTGTTGCAGGAAAGTTGGAGGACGGTTCTCTTCAAAAACTTGAGCAGGATAGACTCTTCTTTCCCATAACAGCTATCCATGGGTAAGTAATTGTGAGTCTGGAACTACACCCTAATGGCATTTCTCACATAGTCTTTTTGAACCTAGCATATGTAGGGACTCATGGAGGGAATACATTACATGTGTATATCCACATTTCAAATAATTTAAACCCAGAAAATATAGAAATTGATCTCAAATGCATGAACTAGCAGCCACACTTCTATTTTGGTTGGTGCAGAGTGAGTCTCCTGGATTGCTTCATTAGGCTCTGTAAGCAAAGGAATGCCAGGCACTTGAATCTTCCTTGGTCTTTGGCAGTGGCTTTCAGCATGGGGAATTCATGAAGGTGCTTGGGGAATGCATTTAAAAGGCCATGTGTCTGTGGAATTTAGGTGGCTCCAGGTTAGGAAATAGCTGAATGGCCTTTTGTACAGAATAAACTTTTGGATTTAGCACCCAAATTTTGCACAAACCCACGTCTGGCTTTAGAATGCGTGCATATGGAGAGAAGTAAAATTAACTGCTAACTCTAGTAGCAGCTGTTGTATAGTCAATAATTCTGATCAGACCATTTTTATTTCAGTTCCTGAATATGGATTTATGAGCCAACCTTTAAAAATTTTGGCAGAAGTTCTTCAAAGGAATTCATCTCTCTTATACTATTCCTGTGATGAGACCCAAAACTTCCAATGGCCAAATTCTTATAAGAAAGCATGAACATCTGTACCACACTAAATCACGGGCATACTAGGCTTGGCACTTTCCACCAGTGGAAAGCAGTAGATGCTTGGGAGTACAGGACAAGCACAGAATGATACTTGGCCAGAATCCTCTCCAAGCAATTCAGGGATTCTATGTACCAAAAGTTCTGTGTTCATACTTAATTGCTGTGAGTAAAGGGTTTTTTTTCATGAACTTGCTCAATCACTTGAATACTGGAACACTTTCCTCCACTGCATCCTGCAGCAAGAAGTTCCAAGATTTAACTGTGCACTGTGTGAGGATACATGTCTTTTTGTTTCTTTGAATCTGCCATTTGCCTGGATCTTTTGAGAGGTAATTCCATATTAATATGTTTTTTCAATCTATTTTTACTGTATCTCACCAATATATTATCCAATTATCTCACTGATACATTATCAGTGTGAGCCACTGCGTAACTAGAATTTGCCTGTGGGCTTGTCTATGCATTTATAGACCTTTCCTGCTCCTATATAAACACTTCAAAAATTGAGTCCCAAGTGGGCTTATGCTGATTCAAGGAAATCAAAAAGCAGATTTTATTCATATTGGTAGCAGAGGTAGACTGCAGGTACTGCAAGAACCGTGAAAAGATTCCCTTCAATTTTACTTTTAAGAGCTGGAATTGTCAGCTAAGAGTTACCTAAGGTTCTGAGCAGAAACGCACGTGTGAATGTGTCTGCATATGTCTGCACAGATGCAAAACCAAGCTGCCAAAGCCATCTGTCCTGGAGGAAAGGTGCTGGGGTTAAGCCATACAGTATGAGAGAGAAGCACGGTGCCCTGGCTTAACAATGTCTGCTGGCTCCCAAGGAAACTTTCTGGAGCCAGCAAGTAAGGGACACGTTAACTGTGGCGAGAGCACATTATTCAGTTAGTCACAAGTCTTATCTGTGAGGAGTCAGCCTGACCCCAGGAGGAGTTCGCAGGTCCAAGAGTCACCTTGAGAATGTGTTTCTACGGTGCGCTCTTTTAACAGTACCCCAGGTACAGCCCTTCCAGTGCAGCTTTCTTCTCAGCTTTTAGATTCTAAACTCTTTGCAGATGGCAGTCTGGAGAGAGAAGTAGCAGAAAAGTCTGCTTTAAGCTGTCGCAGCAAACTAAATCTGGCTGCAGTCATAGAGTAGCAGTTAAATGATCCCGCAACATCAGCGGTAGCTTTTATGTGAGAACATGATTGTACCCAGTGTTTGAGGACTATTGCTAACTTTGGTTTGGGAGATGAAAGTTTGTATTTAGACTTGATGAAGAGCCTTTGAAGAGAAGTGTGTGCACGCATGTGTCTCTGTGTACAAAACACACAATCAGGGTTCCTTTTAACCACGTCAATTTTACACTACTGTGACTTGACAGGCATCAGCAGAGGCGTGCCTGATTTACTCAGGCATTTAAAAAAAAAAAAAAAGAAGAAAAAACAACAGGACTTGTACCTCATATGAGTGTTGAGTATCTCACTGATGTGTATTTCTACACAGATGTGGTACACAAAATTGTGTAGGTATACACACACTGCAATTGTACTGCACATAACTGTCTTTTATGGCAGTTAGAAGCAGAGTTCAACCCTGTTCAGTGTGCTTCCCATCTCACCAACATCAGACAGAAGCCTGGAGCTGAGCAGCACATAGGGCAGTGATTCAGTACACAGGATGATGCAGCACAATTTGTTTTGGCTTCTTGATATTCTGCATCTAACTGCTATGCATTTTTAATACCAAGTTACTGATATAATAGTGGTAAGAAGTACAGTTAAAGAGAATGCAAACTGGTTTAATAATGTCTCCAGAGCTTTCCAAATGTGTGAGGCTATCCAGCCTGTTTACAGAATGCAATCTGCTAGAATGAAAGAAAATCAAACCAAATCCTTGTCCTGAAGATATCATTGGCAACGTTAAGAATCTTATAATACCCCAGGGACAGTAGTTGCATCCCTACCCCTCACTGCCTACTACTATTAAAAATATTGTTTGGTTGCTTATTTATGTGAAATTAGCAGATCAGGGAGTAGTGTTTGAGTGCATATTCAACATCTGTGAAAGCAGTTTCAGTTTAATAGGCTGAATCAGACACCACATAATCACTTTTGGGAAGAATCTGAGCAAATGGAATTGTGTCTATAGTTTCTTCTTTTCCTTCTTTCTTCTGCAGCTCAGCTCTGATAACTGTTCACTGGGCATAAACCATGGCCCTTTAATCTCACTTTTTATTAAGCGATTACCAGCGTTTCAGAAATAGCCTTGTGTAACATATTAAGGACCAAGAAAGCCAAATCAATGTTTCAGGGCTCTCATATGGCTTTCATATAGCTGAATGGAGTTCATCTTTTCACGATTGCAAACCTTCAAGTTGGATGTTAACACTTTTGAAGTAACTTCCAATGCCAAAATGACGTTCCTCCCTTTCAGTTCAAAGAAAACACAACATCTGTCATAATGTGAAATGTAGATTTAATGCAAGTGTCAAGTCAGGCACTTGGTAATGAGGTAAAAACCCTTGAGATTTTAAGTCTCTCTTCCGTGCTATCCTGTTACAGGGAGGGGAAAGGAAAGAACTGTTTCTTTGGCACTTAGCAGCTTTTCTGCGTCGCTTATCTATCCTTCCTGGACATCTTCTGCGAATTAGTGTATTTTTCCTGGCGCTGTCCTCCTGAGGGGAGGAAGGTGCAATAGTACTTTCTCTGTAACCGAGGGAAACTGAGGTACGGCCCAGACTGCCGAGGAGCCCCCAGACTCAGTTTGGGGGGGGGGGGGGGGGGGTGGGGGGGGGGGGNATCGCAGGAGGTTCCGCGGGGCCGACAGCGGGGAGGGCTCAGGGAGCAGCGGAACGGAGCGGGGCGCGACGCGGCGGCCGGAGCTGTCACAGCAGCAGCCCCGAGTGTGCTGCTGGGCACGCCTGGAAGCGCCTTTATTTGCACTGGGGGAAGAGTGGGTTTGCGGTAAGGATCTGCAGGTCTCCTTGTAGGAGGATAAATATTTGTCCTTTGGATTCCCTCCCC